GACTATCTTATATGCAGATCCTTGAAACCAAATAACTTCAGACACTTTATCTACCTTTTTGTTGTTATCTGTGACAGATGGCCAGCCAGTTCCCCAACGTTGACACCAAGCCTCCAAACAATTTTATCTCCTTTCTCTTTCCTCTTGTAGTTTCTTTTTCTTGTCTACCATGTCGATCTTGATTTTTCCTAGTCTCCATTTTGGCTCCTCACTCATTCCTTTGGCAGCCTTTTTCTCATATCAGGAAACCCATTTTGTTTCTTGCAGTAAGCAGGAGCCAGAATATTTCAGAAATAAATGTAAGAGAAGCCAAATATTCCTATAGAGGATACTGAGGTTAATGAACCAGCTCCCGAGCAGTTGAATACTAAAGCATTCTGTTTTCTCCAAGCTTCAAACTTTGGCCAGAAACCTGCTCCAGGTTACAAATTGCTGTCTTTGTTGAAGCTCTCAGACTGCTGTTTTTCTTTAAAAGTAGCAGCCAGTGCTGTAATCAGTATCTCTAGCTCACTTACCGGTAGACCCTTTTCCACATGCAAAGCAAAGTGGTTTATTTTTATGCCATTAAATGTCTAGGAAGTAGGAAAGTGTTTAAATTGATTTAATCATCATCTTTATTTAAAAAAACAACACTTTTCAGGAAATAGAAGCATTACCATTGTAATTATAGGTGTTGTTAAATTTATACAGGAATATGTAGGGTTTGACTTTAGACTCCTTGTTTGTTTCAAAGAAATCAGCTGATTTTTGTTGTTTCAAACCATGTGAAATGCATATTGGAGCATTTAACAAATAACAACTGTCCATAACGTGATCTGAATGCTTTTCTCCTTCTAATAACGGGTCTCGAAGGGGTTCCCAATCTTCACACAGGAGCGGGTTTTAGGCACTTGCATTCCACAGACCCAGACAGCCTGCAAAAACATTATCACTATTGTCTGTCCTGTCTCACCTTCCAACAAGGGCAAGGTCTCATCATCCTGGCCGTCATTCCACAAGGGGCATCTCTCGGGTATTGAATCCTTCCAGGGTCCTCCCTGTAACCTTTCCTCCTCATCTCATTTATCCTCCATTCTAATCTTTCCTTCCTTTCTCTCTCTACTTTCTCCTTTTCCTCTCTCAGCCTCTTTCTCCACTCTTGCTTCGGCTTCTCCCCAGTATGATGGTCTGGGCAGGATCTCTCTCTCCTATAATCAGCTTCTTCTTTGGGCACTCTTAATCTCCGCCATGCCCCTGTCTAGGGATCCTCCATCCATACTATTCCTAGCCCAGTGGTAACTTGCCTTTCCTCCTCTTTATCTCTTCTGTCCCTGTCTCAAACTCCACCCTTTTCTTCCGCTCTTTTCCCACCATTTCTCCCTGACCTCCTCCTAAAGTCATCCTTTGTATTTCTTTTCCTAGCTCGTCTGTCTCTGTCCCTCGCTGCTCTGTCTTTGTGGGCACTGGGGTATGCTATTTGTACTTCCTTCTCTTCAGAATGGAGGAGGGACAGCTCTCCAGCAAGTGGGATATGCCTGTCACCTCCTGTCTCACATACCCCCCCCGAAAGGGCTGTTCATTCCTCACTGCTCCTCGCCCACGGACCCTGCCGGGACAAATAATCTACATTAAAATGTTCCTTCTCTTTCCTATATTGAACCGTTAAGGCAAAGGGTTGAAGGGCCAGATACCATTGTGCGAGTCTTGGGTTAGTATCTTTCATCATGGCGCATGGTCGGTTACCAAGGTGAACAGTGCTCCCAGCAGATAATACCTCAAGGCGTGTGTGGCCCAAAGAATTGCCAATGCTTCTTTTTCAATAACAGCATACTTCTGTTTCCTCACTGTCAGTTTACAGCTAAGATAAAGGACAGGGTATTCTACCCCGTTGTGTATCTGGCCAGGATAGCTCCTAAACCTTTGTCTGAAGCATCCGTAAAAAGTACAAAATCAGGGGCAATCCTGGTTGGCAACTCACACAAGATCGCTTTCAACACCTGAAAGGCCTTCTCTTGGGTTTCACCCCATTGTACCCATCTTCCTGCCCTCTTCCTGGTAAGATCAGTCAGAGGGGCGGCAATTATTGAGAACTGTGGTATAAACTGTCAGTAGTACTGACAAGCCACAAGAACTGTTGCATTTCCTTCTTAGTCCTAGGCCAATATCATTGAGTGATTTTTGTGACCTTTCCTTCTTGGGATTGTATCTCGCCTCCCCAAATTAAGAAACCTAAATATTCTACTTTAGGTCGAGCTGTTCTATATCTGTTGGGGTTAGCAGTAAGCCCAGCTTTCCTTAATTCTCTTAAGATCCGATGTAGATGAACCAGATGTTTTTCCCAGGTTTTGCTGTATATAATTATATGGTCTATGCACAGTCTTGCACCAGGAGTAATACTTTATCCATGAGACGCTGAAAGGTCGCCATTGCCCCATGCAGTCCATAAGGCATTCTTGTAAATTGGAAGAGACCCTTTGGAGTAGAAAGGGCAGTTTTCTCTTTGTCTTGGTCCCTTAAAGGGATCTGGCAGTACCCTTTCATCAGGTCTAGAGAGGCTAGATACCTGGTGCCCCCTAGCTTGTCTAACAAGTCTTCCAACTTTCGCATAAGGTAAGCATTAAAGGTAGAGACTGCATTAACCTTACGGTAATCAATACAGAACCGTACTGAACCATCTGGTTTGGGTACTACTACGGGGTAGCTATGCCAAGGTCCTTTAGCCGGCTCTAACATCCCCAGACTTAGCATCTCCACCACTTCTTGTTCTATTATGGAAGTCAACTGCCAGGGCCAGGATCTTCTTGTTGATCTCACCACTATCCCTGGTTTAGTCTCAATACTATGTTCAATCCAACAGGTATATCCTGGTTTCTTAGAGAAAACATCAGGGAACTCCCTTTCAACCTGACGCACTTGGTCATAGATAAGTACCAGTGTCTCTCTTCCTAATTCAACATCCCCCACCTCAGGTCCTAGTTCTTCTTCTTGACAATCTCCAAAAAGAGATTCTCTATCCACCCGGTGCTTCAATAAGTACTTGTAGTTTCTTTTTCTTGTCTACTATGTCGATCTTGATTTTTCCTAGTCTCCATTTTGGCTCCTCACTTGTTCCTTTGGCAGCCTTTTTCTCATATCAGGAAACCCATTTTGTTTTTTGCAGTAAGCAGCAGCCAGAATATTTCAGGAATAAATGTAAGAGAAGCCAAATATTCCTATAGATGATACTGAGATTAATGAAGCAGCTCCCAAGCAGCTGAATACTAAAGCATTCTGTTTTCTCCAAGCTTAAAACTTTGGCCGGAAACCTGCTCCAGGTTACAAATTACTGTGTTGAAGCTCTCAGACTGCTGCTTTTCTCAAAAGTAGCAGCTAGTGCTATAATCGGTATCTCTAACTCACTTAGATCCTTTCCCACTACTCTGTACTTCCTTCTCTTTGGAATGGAGGAGGGACGGCTCTCCAGTGAGTGGGATATCTCTCTCGCCTCCTGTCTCACAATATGCTAATAAACATTTTTAGTTGTGAGAAAAGTGGATATCTATGATTACGTTGCTAAGGCAAAGTATAATCATATCCCTGACTTACACAGTTTAAATTGTAATCTGATCAGCACATTATCATATACTCTACAATACAGGCCAAAAATCTGCCACAGCTAAGTACTACAGTTTCATATTAAGGTGTTACAAGTGTGCAAATACACTTCTACCCATTTGCTATTGTTTATGGAGAGATCTGTCTTGCCCTTTTTACAGCGCTGGCAGGGTAGTATGTATCTCATTCCTTGTGCAACCCACTGAGTTTATTATTATGCATCTAGAATTAACCCTTTCCAAATGTGGATTTGAACCTAGATTTCCCAGATTCTAGTAATCCAGCGTGGCCCTCTACACTCTTAAGAATGTAGTTTCCACCATCTCTCCCCAGCACATCCTGTGGTGCACAATGCAAGGAGTTGGCAACCTCACAATGTCTGGATGGCAAATGTTGTCCATCTTTAGTTCAGCCTCCCCTGCCCCAAGGCCACTGTGACTCATCAGTACAAAATATGGATAAACTTGGAATTATGAGTCTGCCATCTTAAATCTAATGTTGCATCAGGACACTTCTAGGTATAAGTAGTCCAGCTTTTAGGGATATCTCAGATTACAGCCAGATGGTAGTGTGTAACAAAGATTAGATATATTTGGGGTGTGCATTACTGCCTGTAGTTGTGATACTTTGTTCAAAGCTGAAATTTGCTATTCTAGTTGTAAGACAATACATTTTGAATTGAAACTTGCTGTTGAATTGAAACTAGTGACATACTAGGACTCTGCAGAACAGGGTTTGAATTCCCACTTGGCTATAGATACTCACTGGGGGAGTGGAACTAGTAAAACCATTTCTTAAATATCTCACTTACCTTGAAAGCCCTACTAGGTTTGATATAAGTCAGTTCCAGATGCCACAGAACACATGCATTGTCCTTTTGGGACTCTGGTCTGAAGTAAGTGAAATCATGTGCATTGTGGTAGAAAATTGCAGCTCTTTAACAAGATGTCTGGTTGCACACTTAGGCATGAAGTTAATTCATCCTCTGTTTTTGAAGGAGACCATAGTCTCCATAATTCAGAGTCACTATTGTGGAAAAATAAGAGTGAGTGCTTGAGGTTGTGGTTGAGCAAACATGGAGGTGACTAACTAGCCCAATACAAGCCTGAAAAATACGGAATCAGTGGCATCTTGGCTGATCCTGGGGTTGTTGGGCTAGTTGCCTTGCCTTCTCACTTCTCTCTTCCATTGTCCATCCTTGATTCTTTTTATTTCAAACACTTTAGCCCTTGTTGGACAGATTTCACCAGGCCTTTCACTTTTGGGCGGGAGCTTTCTAACTGACATGGTTGCATGGCTGGCATTTTGTTACTTCCTTGCAGTTGACCAACACTACCTACATGGTTCTGTATACACTGAAGTGCCATTCTGATAGTTTTCTGACCATTGGGAGAAAAGAAGTATTTCTGTTGTTTTTTATCCCACAGGTAAATCTTGGAAGCAACCAGTATCTCTTCTCAGCTGTAGTTGATCCTAAAGAAATGCCATGCTTCTGCTTACGCCATGATGTTGATGCTCTGCTGTGGCAACCACACCCAGATCAAGAGGACAAATGGGAGCACATTTCTACTTTCAATGCGTTAGGTAGGAAGGAAAGCTGTGCAGCATTTGTTGTGTTTATCAAACTACATTCGGTAATACTCTTTCCACTTTGGTCTAATCATCTCTGTCCTTGCTCAGCAGAATTCTGTAATTAAAACCTGGCTCATTATCACTGCATTCGTTAAATACTAGGCTCGTTTTTAGAAGACCGTGTTTTTAGGGAATAAGTAACTGATGATCTTAATTGAAGCCTAGTCTTCTTTGAAATTAAGAAGAGATCAGTTTTCACTGACAAATTTTTTCCATACCTCAGATAGAACAGGAATATGATGAAGAGATTTTTTCAGCATTACAAGTATGAACTTCGATACTATAATTCAGAATAAACTATCAAATGAAATATATAAAATATTCCAGGCATGTTTATACAGTGGGGTCTTGACTTAACAACGGCTTGAGTTAAGAACATTTTGACTTAAGAACCATTCTCATAGGAAAATATTGACTTGACTTACATACTTAGATTTGAGTTAAGAACTGAAAAAAACCACGTGGGAGGCAGGGAAAGTGCAAAATTTGAACTTTCAGTTAACATACTTCACTCGAATGAATTTTTCCAAGCACACAGCTTGCAAGATGGTATAAAAGGTATGTCAAGCAAGCATTGGTGGCCTGTTTTAAAATTGACAGGCAAGCTACATTAAAAAATCAGGCATCTGACAATTTAGTTATCAGGCAAAGTCCAAAGAAACAAAGGCAAAAACTTATGGCATCTTAAAAACTATTATATTTTAATGTAAGTTTTCGTAGACACATCCATTTCATCAGACATAAAGAAACAGAATGAAATGGAATGAAAATATATTAGATGAAACATTAGTTTCACATTCTAAATGTTCAATGGTTACATGCAGTAATTAGGCCTATGCTAGTTTTAGGGTCCTGTTCTAAAAATTCAAGAATACAGAAAACAGACACCAGATCTGAGCAGAGATGGGGAAGGGGGGGGGGGAGAGAGAAGAAAGAGAAGGGTGCCGGCAGGGGGGTTGAAACTGCAGTTAAGCCTCAGAATGGGACAGAAAGAATGAAAGAAGATGGAAGAGGAATCACATGTGTTAATGTAGGGAATGTTGACAGTTTTTACCTTTGAACTTTGTGATGAGAGATGGGCTTGGTAGTTGTGAAGAAAATAACAGTGGCAGTGGATAACAGCAGAAGTGCTGCATTTGGTAATGGCCTAAGAAACCTAGGCTTATATTCAATCCATTTCTATGAATGTCAATCATGTGTACACATTTTATTTCTGTAGTTTCCCTGTGTATTCCTGATTTGTAATGATTCTGTTCTAAAATAGTGACTTTCAAATCTTCCACAGAGTGACCTGGTAGATTGAAATGGTTGGAGACACGTTTCTCTGTGTTATAGTTTCTGATGTCAGATTTGTAATCATAGATCTGTTTCTGTAGAGATTGTTCTGTTTGTCCTATGTAGAGTGCAGAGGGCCATTGTTGGCAAAATATGGAATAGATCACATTAGCAAAGGAACAAGTGAAGATGTCTTTGATGTTGTGTATGACATTGTTAGGTCCTGTAATCATATTGCCAGAATAGATGTGTGAACAGAGTTGTCATCTGAGTCTGTGGCAGGGCTTGGTCCCCATGTCTGTGTTACTTTGTGGTCCATTGTGTATCAGTAGTTGCTTGAGGTTGGGGGGTGGTGTGTAGGCAAGTATGGGTCTCCCACCAAGGGATTTCTTGTCAAGGATGGGTTGGAGATCACTTAGGATGCATGTGAGTGTTTCAGTTCTTGACTGAAAGTGGCAACTAGCTGTTGTTGGGTTTTTTTTTTGTCATTTTGACTTCTGAGTCTGTCTTGCAATAAGTTACTTCTAGACATGCATCTTGCTTTGTTGATTTGTTCCTCAGTCACATGGGGTGGTCATTGTAGTCTGAAGAATGCATTTTATAGATCCTTGAGTTTTGAGTCTCTACCCTGTGAATCAGAATAGATGTATCTAAGGGCTTGACTGTACGTAACGGATTTCTTTATGTGTTCAGGATGGAAGCTGGAAGAATGCAAGTAGATGTATTGATTGGTGGGTTTCCAGTATAGCATGGTGCTAAGATGTCTATGTGATCATCTCAGAGTGGTATCTAGAAAATGCACCTGTTGCATAGATTGTTCCAGGGTGACGTTGATGTTTGGGTCTAGAGCAGAAAAATATCATCAGCGTACCTCAAATAGAAACTCATTTTAGTGAATTTATTTATCTCCTAATAATCATGTGCCATCAAGTGAACTCTGACTTATCATGACCCTTCCCAGGGTTTTCCAAGTAGAGAATAATCAGGAGCAGTTTACCATTCCCTTCTTCTGGAGCATCTTGGGACTTTGCAGCTTGTCCAAGGCCAAGCAGCATGGTTCTACTCATTGGAGGTATAGTGGGGAATTCAACTCCCAATTTGTGGCTCTGCAGCCAGATACCTAAGCCACTAAACTATCCAGCCAGGCTATTTACTGTTATTTTGTAATACGGTATAAAATAACTTTTTTGTGTTGATTTGTTTCAGTCCTTATTTTGAGATGAAAAAAAATGTAAATCACTATTTCAGCCTGTAGAAAGGGCTGATAAGCTGTTGAGCCCAGGCTTGGATAAATGTAGCAAGCACAGTAACTATCTTTCGCTCATTTCAAAACTCCTCCTTTATTTGTGAAGTCAGAATGAGAACAAATTAAACAATCATATTTAAACCCATTAAGACATTGTGCTAGAAAATTATACGGACCCAGCTAAAATACTGGCATGCTGGTTTTTTTATTTATTTCTCCAGCTGCAGTTCCCTATAGTCTCAAATGACTTCCCCAAGTAAAAGACATTACAGGTGCAGAAGCGATGTCTAGTTCTGAAGCTACGAAGGCACAGAAGAACACATTTATTTAGTCAGGATCCAAAAGATAGGCTTGCAGCCATTTAAGCACGATGAAGGAATCCATCTCAGAGAGAGGAACAGCATCTGTAAAATAATTCTGCTGCTTTTATTATCTCTGTGTATTTCAGGTTATGTGCAGGCATCAAAGCAAGACAAGAAATTCATGGCCTGTGCTCCGAATCGCTCGTATTCTGCCCTGTGTGAGTGCCTGCGGCGAGTGTTCATCTATCGGCAACCAACTCCTCTGTCCACTGTGCTGTACAACAGAAAGGAGGGGAGGCAAGTAGGACAAGTTGCTAAGCAGCTGGTAGCAACTCTGGAGACCCATGATCCTGTTTTGGGATTTCAGGCAACCAACGAGAGATTATTTGTTCTCACAACAAAGGTCCTGTTTATAATAAAAGTATGCACTGAGAATGAGTGACTAAATATATCCTGTTAGCCTGAATAATGACTATATACATTAGCAGTACAGAGGTCTGTTGCTAAGGGCAAATGCAACATGTCACGTGTACTATTTTCTGAAGCTTGACCAAAACTTATGTTCCTACTTTCCTTTGCGAGTTTTAATTAAATGGCTTATTATGTGTAGGAAAACCTCAAGTTGGTGCAAGGATGGGTTTTTTTGCCCTTCAAATGCAAATGCTGAGCAATTGCATTTGTGAAATTGTTTACTTCCTATGTTTTTGAATAACAATACTTCCAGTCACAGCTCCCACTGCAGGTGATTGAAAATAGACTTTTTCTTCACTTTATGTCTTATTTATCATCGCATTTTTATCTGGCCTCTAAGTCAAAAGTCCCACTTTGTTTGCTTTTTTAAAAAAATTGGAAACTTACCCAAATAATTAAAATGCAATTTGCTGCAAAATAAAGACTCATTTGATCCTGTTTTTCATTCTCTGTTAGATTTTTCATTTAATGCTTGCATTGGCTCATTGGACAAATGATAATGAATGTGAACATCTTCTTTTCTCAGGCATCATTTTAATGTATACTTACAGCTTTCATTATGTGTAAATGTAATCTCCAACTATTGAGTTCCAGATGAAATCATTTTAGAAATAAAGTGTTTCTTGGGGTTTTTTGTTTTTGTCTTTTTGTTTGTTTTTGCTTTTTAATGGTCTAGTTTTCCATGATATTAAAACTAGAGCTCTGATTTGAAAGAAAATTAAGATTTGATGGCTCTCAAATCTATAGTGAACAACACTTTCTGAACAGAGGTCATGATTTTAAGCTCTACAACAGGTAGTCTCAAGCAAGGCCTACATGAGAGAAAAGGTAATTGGTGCAGAAGCTGATAGTTTCAATATGCATTTGTCTAAGACATACCAAGACCATCAAACCCTGACTCAGGAGGACCCTACTCTGTCCTTTGATTCCTAACCTACAGTAGGTAAAACATGTCTTTTAAATTTGTAAAGCCATCCAGTAGTTCTGCTTTATTCTGACAGTATAGCTTCTCGGCATATCTGTATTGCATACCTATTTCATAGTTATTTTTGTTATTTAATTATGAATAAGAATAATAGTTAATTTGCTGTATAGTGGCTGAAATCCTATTGGTGTAACTACAGTTTCAGTTATTATATCCTTTGATTAGGGACCTGTACATGTTTTACTTATTTCATGTAATGCTTCATGTAGATCAGTAATGCTGTTTGCATAACCATACCTGCATAAGATTAATGATGTCATCAGCATAGGGAAATTTTTGATAATTATACATTTCTCACTTCTGTCACAATGTTTTTCCAGCTCCTGCATAATCCCTTTCATTGCATGGAAGCCATGGGAGACAAAGGACAGGAGGAGGAAATCCTTACTGACTGAAAATCATAGCTGCTGACATTACCAGAAGGGGCAGACTTTCTGTAATGAAAGACTTCTTCCTCTAGTTCCATGGCTCCTGCATCTTCTGCAGGGTTAAGGGGATCACACTGAAGTTTTCAAAGGAGGTGTTCAGGATGGAATTGGAAAGATTTAATTACGAAAAAGTGTCCCCTGCTGCTGACTTCATCATCCTTCTGCAGGCATAGTTGTGTAACCAGGATCCGAGCCAGTGTTACTGATCTACATGAAGCATTACATGAAATAAGCAAAATATGCACAAAATATGCACAGGCCCCCTAACCTAAGCATATTACAATCTAAATTTCAATCAAAGGGAAGTGTTTACCATTGAGAAGAATATATGTGGATGCAGATAATGTGTACTTAAATGTAAGTAGGCACAGAGTCCAAACAGTAAAACTGTGATAGTTTTTGAGAAAGACTTAAGGAAGAATGAATGTTCAAGTCTTTAGTATTTTCCCCACAATTGTAATTTCTGTTTCATGTGTATGCAGCGCCATGCCATTGGATCACTTTAGACGTATGTCACTGATCAGATCAAAGAAAAGTCCAATGCTGTGCAATACAGGACAGACGACACACCCCAGCTGTGAAACTAGATCTTACCATTGTTAGATGATTCCAAGATAGGAAAACAATTTATCAGTCATGCAGTAATTCCCCTTCATACAGCATAATGTTTGTGGCTCCAAAAAGTGAAAAAAGCTAATCTTCATCTCTTGTGACAGGTTAAGTGCAGCAAAATAAAACCCTTGGCAGTTTTTCACCCAGTCTTTATTACAACAGGCAACAAAGGGGGCATGTGATAAATGTTGTTTGACTTTCAAAGAAGGTTACTGACAAAGCATAGGAAAGAGATTTCTTGTTCTTAGTGATGTTTGTGCATATGTCTTAAGAAGAAGTTTAAGTGAATTGTAAGGAAATCTGAAACCTTATGTTCAAAGCCAGTTCAATGTGACATGATCCACTAAATTTCAGTGTGCCTCTAGGGAAACGATAGAGCAGTCAATGTTTTTTTTTACTACCAAGAGCTTCCTATGTACTTTTAGGAGATAGGTTAATAAAGGAACGCAGTGGGTTCAACCAACTTAAGCCATGTAGTAGAAAGGGAGTGAAGCTCTATTCTGCCAGAACACTTGCCAATCAAAGTGTAAGCATTTCACCTAGGAATGTGAACTTAAATCCTTGCGGTTTATTCCTAAATCCTTTTGGCAGAAAGTTGTCTCTTCACTCACTAGCACATATCTACGTTCGGCAGAAGCTGAAGGCTTGTTGAGGAAATGCATTGAAATATGCTGAAACCATTCTAGTAATCATGTAGGCCTTGGTCCACTCATTTTTATACATAGAATATCCTCTATAAACCACCTGGGTACACATTGAGTTGAACATAGAATTTAAAATAGTTTTTCTCTGATCCAGATTCTGTTAGGTTGTCCATTTCAATTGGTCTACATGGAGGAAAAGAAGTGGTATGAACCAGAGACCTTTTCCGGACTTATAATGTATAGTGTTGTGTAGTTAGAAGTATTGGACTGATTCCTGTTAGTATCCCTCTTGGATGAAATGGTCTTTGATCAAGCAAAAGCTTCCCTCTGTGGAACAGACTGGTAAGATGTGGGAAGAAGGGGGATGAGGAAAGGGATGGGGGTCTCCACCTTCTTCCAATAATTAAAGTCTCTGTGGAATCTTAGGGTACTCCAAAAGTGGAGCAGAGCAACTACCCATTTGATACAACCCAAATATTTGAGCAGTTTCTCATAGATCACATATCAAGTATCTTTTGTACCACAGTTCCCATCATTCCTTACCAGGGGCCATACCATGGAAGTTTTGAAGAGGGAAATTTCAGAATTTCTAGAGAGGCAAAAACTCTTCATCCCACCACGGAATTTTACATTTCCAACAGTTGGGTGGGTGGAGTGTACTCAAGAATGATTTCTTAAAATTGGCCAGAATCCAATTTAAGAATTAATCCAGTGTAAGTTTAGCACCAGAAATTTTGGTAACCAATTGCTATGAGTTAAGGCAGTGTTTGCTTTTGTTGTGCGCTAGGTCAATCAACCGGTGTGTGATGCCCAAAGCAAATGGTAGATTCTTATGTGGTGGCTGTTTGGCAGTGGACTTAAAGCAGCAGGTGTAAATCGTAGCATTGTGGCCACTGACTTCAACGAGCTACTGGTGATTGTTGGGGTGTCAGCTGCCAAAAAACTTGTTTCCAACATATGCAGTGTTATCCAAGATCCAAATACTGTTGGGGAAACCAGACTGAAGGAAAGCTAAATGTTGTTGTATCTACCTATGATTAAATTGTCCATTCTTGGCTGTATCACTGGAGCTCTGATAAGTTACTTCAGAACTTGGGAAAGTTACATTTTTTTCACAACTCCCCACATGCGCTGGCCAGCATGAAGAGTGACTGGGATATTCTGGCAGATATAGTCTAAAATATAACTTTTCCAAGCTGTCAGTTACTTTAAACACTACACATGCTGGGCATAACAGTTTGCAGAGGAAATACTGAGCAAAACACTTGAGACAAAAAAAAATCCTTCAAAATTCCAATGTGGCTATTCAGCGATAAAAATAAATTCCTTTGACTAAGTGCCCTGAAGTGTCAAATCCAATTCAAAATGAAAGTTGATGTAAGATATACTGAAAGATGTGATGCTTCTGTTCCATAAACATCAGTTTTTTATTCAAAAGTAGAGGGATGGAGTGGGGATAATATTCAAGCGAATGAACTGAAACTCATCCGATAGTTCTGTGGTTGAGTACTGAGACTTAGTCAGCCTCTTATTTCCAAAGGTTTCTCAACTCATTGATAATCCATCAATTAGAATAAAGTGCACCTTTTTAGACTGCCTTTCTCAGTGATGAATACGAACATTCTCATACATGTATGCCTTACACTGGTCTGGTTGACATGTCCATTCATCACTTTTAGAAATAAAGAGAAGAAGAAAATGAGACTGCTTTCCAATGGTGTCAAGAATGCCTTCCTTGGAAATACAGTGGACCCTTGACTTACAGACAGCTTGACTTACCGACTTTTTGAGTTACAGACTTCTCTGGCCGCAAAATTTAGGTTTGACTTGCAGACTGAGATTTGACTTACAGACCAGAAAAAAACCAAAATGGAACAAAAACGGGATTAATTGGTTTTCAATGCACTGTAGGCCAATGGAGACTTGACTTACAGACTTTTTGACTTGAGAACCGCCTTCCAATACGGATTAAGTTCTCAAGTCAAGACCCCACTGTAGCAGTTACATTCAGACCCCCATTGAACACCAGCTTATGGTACCTTATTAAGACTTAACAGATATATTTTATCATGATGTTTTTTGAATAGTCTTGTACATTGACCTACTCTCTGTGTGTGTATGTGTGTGTGCATGTGTTTAGCTCTGGCTTGACTATTGTATTCCATGTGTCTGAAGAAACAGAAGGTAATCCTCAAGAATAAAATAAATTCAATTTTTTTTTGGGGGGGGGAACCCCTCCAGTTTATGAATGTGGGATATTCTGCTTCTTTATCCACAATTCAAAACACCAGGAAATGGCCCAACATTGTGGCACAATACCATGCCCACATTGCCAGCAGGAAAAAGGATGCTAAGCTTTTACATAGCAAAGGGTAGCCTGAATACTGACAACACCAATGGCAGCAGTCAAGGTGGTCTACAGCAGTGATTCACACTTGTATTTTTCCTTGCCTGTCAGTTGCATGGCTCGGCACATGACAGGGAAGAGAAATTAGCAACTTGCTGCTGTAATTTATGGTATTGCTCTTAAACCTACAGTAGTTTGTTGTTGTTTAGTCATGAAGTCATGCCCAACTCTTTGTGACCCCATGGACCAGAGCACGCCAGGCCCCCCTGTCTTCCACTGCCTCCCGGTGTTGGGTCAAATGCATGTCAGTAGTTTTGATGAAACTGTACAACCATCTCATCCTCTGTCGTCCCCTTCTCTTCTTTCCCTCACACTTTCCTAACATCAGGGTCTTTTCCAGGGAGTCTTCTCTTCTCATGAGA